GTGTTGGGCAGTGTGGGGCAGTGTTGGGCAGTGTGGGGCAGTGTCGGGCGGTGTGGGGCGGTGTGCGGCAGTGTCGGATGGTGTGGGGCGGTGTCAGGCGGTGTGGGGTGGTGTGGGGCAGTATGGGGTGGTGTGCGGCAGTGTGGGGCGGTGTGGGGCAGTGTGGGGCAGTGTGGGGCAGTGTCGGATGGTGTGGGGCGGTGTGGGGCGGTGTGGGGCGGTGGTCACAGTGCCCCGCACCCCCAGGCCCGGCCGGTGCCCACGTGGCGGCAGGACGAGGACGACGAGGACGAGCTGTGGCCCGAGTTCCCCCCCGCCAGCCCCACGTCTCCCGTGACCCCCACGAGCCCCACGGCGCCCGCGGCCCCCACCCGTGAGCGCTGCGTGGGGCAGGGTGGGCACCGCGGTGCCCCGCGCCAGGGACCCCCGGCGCCCCACACGATCCTCCTGGCACCCCCCATAGCTGCCCCGTCCCCTTGGGGGCCCCTGTTGCTCCCCCAGGTCCCCTATAGCTGCCCCATGCCCTCGGGGACCCCCTGCGGGTGCCCCACGCTGTGGGTTGGGGTGCCCCCCACCCGCGGGTGCCCCACGGCGGCCCTGACGCCTCTGCTCTCCCCACAGGCGGCAGCGCCGCGCGCTCGGGGGGCAGCCAGAGGTGAGTGCTGGCCCGGCCCCACGGGCACCCCGCGGCCCCAGCCCCTGCCCCACGGCCTCCCCCGAGCCCTAGCCCCACAGCTGCCACCCCATGGCTGCCACCCGCCTGCCCTCGTCCCCCTGGGTGCCACCAAACGGCCTGTGCCCCATGGCCGGCACCCCACGTCTGTGCCCCCTGCCCCATATCCTATGGCTGCTGCCCCACGGCTGCCCCCGCCCCACGGCGGCTCTGTGCCCACAGCAGGGCGGCCGTGGGGCGGGCGCCCGCACGCGGCCCGGCCAGGGGGCGCAGCGCCATCTTGGAGATGTTCGGAGGGTGAGTGGGGCCGGGGCGCGACAGCCAATGGGGAGCCGCCGCGGGGGCTGCCGGCCAATGAGGGGCCTGAGATGCATGGGCAGGGAGCGCTGGGCCAATGGGGAGTTGCCTGGGGGCAGCAGTTGGCCAATGGGGAATCGCTGTGGGGGGAGCCAATGGGGAGCTGCGTGGGGGGAACCAAGGACCAATGGGGAGGTGCTGGGGGGCTCCCAGGACCAATGGGGAGACGCTGGGGGAGCAGGGGCCAATGGGGAGCCCACAGGGTGGCGGGAAATGAGCCAATGGGAGGATGTGGCAGGAGTGACTGGCCAATGGGGAGCCCCGGGGGAGGGAAACAGGAGCCAATGGGGAGCTGCTGGGGACCTGGAGCCAATGGGGAGACAGTGGGGGACCTGTGGGCCAATGGGGAGGAAGTGGGGGACCTGTGGGCCAATGGGGAGGCGGAGAGGGACTCATGGGCCAATGGGGAGCTGCTGGGGACCTGGAGCCAATGGGGAGACAGTGGGGGACCTGTGGGCCAATGGGGAGGAAGTGGGGGACCTGTGGGCCAATGGGGAGGCGGAGAGGGACTCATGGGCCAATGGGGAGCTGCTGGGGACCTGGGAGCCAATGGGGAGACAATGGGGATGCCGTGGGCCAATGGGGAGGCAGCGGGGGCCAACAGGGAGCCAATGGGGAGGCAGTGGGGCGGGGCTGTGTGGGGCCGGGCGGCGCCGTGGGGCGGCCCCAGCGGTTCGGGGCGCAGGGCGGCGCAGGGGCCGGGGCCGCGCGTGGGCCGCGCCGCCTCCGCCAAGGCCCTGCTGCTGGAGTGGTGCCGCGCCCGGACCCGCCGCTACGAGGTGCGCGCCGCGCCGGGGCGCGCGGGGTGGGACGCGATGCGCGGGGACGGCACGCGTGGCGACGGGACATGCGGGAACGGGATACAGGACGCGAGGATGCGACACGCAGGGATGGGACACGCGGGGCACCCGGCACGCGGGGACGGGACACGGGGCGGGTGAGACACGGGGTGATGTGAACGGCGGGAATGCGACACACGGCACGGCGTGACACCCGGGGGACGTGACACCCGGGGGGATGTCACACCCGGGGGAGGTGACACGTGGGGCCGTGGGGCACGGCGGGGGCCCCGTCCCCGACACGCGTCCCCCCCCGCAGCACGTGGACATCCAGAACTTCTCGTCGAGCTGGGCGTCGGGGCTGGCCTTCTGCGCGCTCGTGCACAGCTTCTTCCCCGACGCCTTCGAGTACGGCGCGCTGGCGCCGCGCGAGCGCCGCCACAACCTGGCGCTGGCCTTCGCCACCGCCGAGTGAGTGCCCGCCCGCCCCGCCGCGCCCGCCCCATAGCCCCCCGGCGCCCGCCCCACGCGTGCCCCCGCCGCAGGGAGCGCGCCGGCTGCGCCCCGCTGCTCGACGTGGACGACCTGCTGCGCCTGCGCGTGCCCGACGCCAAGTGCGTCTACACGTACGTGCAGGAGCTCTACCGCAGCCTCGTGGCCAAGGGGCTCGTGCGCACCAAGCCGCGCTGAGCCCGGCCCCACAAGTAAAGCGCGGCCCTGACTCTGGCACTCGTGGGGCTTTACTGGGGGCGGCGCTCGGCGTGGCGCCGCGCGTGCTCCTCGGCGCGCTGCCCGAAGCGCCGCGGCTCGGCCGCCAGCTCGCGCGCCAGCTCCGGCCGCAGCGCGCCGGCCGCGCCGGGCGTCTCCAGCAGCAGCAGCAGCTCCTCGAGCACTGCGGGGAGACGCGGGGTCAGTGTGGGGCGGGCGGGCGTGTGGGGACCCCCTCCCGCCCCACACGCACCCTGCAGGGCGGTGACGTGGGGCGCCCAGCGCTCGGGCGACGTCAGGGGCTGGCACACGCGCCCGTCGGCGCCCACGGCCGGGTGGCGGATGGGCGTGCGCAGGGTGACGCGCGGCGGCGCCAGCGGGTGCCGCGGCGAGAAGCGCAGCTCGAAGCGGAAGGCGCCCGCGCTGTAGGGCGGCTGCTCCTGCGCCCGCGGGCGCCTCAGCCCGGCGCCCCCCGGGCACCCAGCCTGGCACCCACAGGGAGCCGCGCACGGGGGAGCCCCCCCACCCACACCCTGGGGACACCCGAGAGGCCCCAGGGACACCCCGTTACCCTCCAAGAGACCCCAGGGACACCCCATTAACCCCAACAAATGAGACCCCCAGTGACACCCCCCTGGATGAGACCCCCAGGGGAACCCCATTATCCCCAAATGAGGCCCCCGGTGACAGACACCCCATTACCCCCATGAATGAGCCCCCCAGTGACACCCCGTTAAACCCTGGATGAGCCCCCCAGTGACACCCCATCGCCCCCCTGAGAGAACCC